TGGGAAAACTGTATCTCTGTGTAGACTACAATCCTGCAGGAAGGATCGCACGACGGGCACTACTCTTGTAGTTGCCTGTAAAAGCTTCTTGTTGGCTGGATAGCCTTCTTTTGGTCACTCTTGGTGCACCTGTTTGTGGCTGGATAGCCTCTGTTGTTCTCAACAGCTCACGTAGAACGTGGTATCTTCTTTGGACCCTTGGGTAGTAGCGAACTGCCTCTGTTGGTCCTCTTGTTGCCTCTGCAAAGCTTGCAGATGGTCTTGGTATGCTTGGGTGGTTACACTGTGTGAGTATTACAGTTTGAAACAGGCAAACGATGGAGTTTTAGGACTCCGTGTGGTTTACCGGGATTTTTGTGTTTCTCTTCACAATAGCACTGTATCACTCGAATCAACCTATCTCACTCAATTTTCGGAGTTAGAAGCTTGCACTGATACTCAGAGATGCGGCTAGATGTCCTCTATCGATTGATGTATGGGACCTCTTGCTTGCAACGTCTGTGTCAGGATCTATCTTGATCCCCGTTCGATGACTTCTGCTCGTTGTGATGAGATGGATCGAAATCTCGTAATCTCGCGCGATGACGTAATCCGCTTCAACTCCTTGAATAAGAGCCGGATTTCCTTGCTTCCGCGTTGACACCTGTTCAGTTCAACGTGCTTGATCTGCTGATACTCTTGGTTTCCGTGTACTCCGGCCGGAAGTCACTTGTCCAGTATGTATCGCCGACTGTATTGGAGACAATGGGAATCCCGCGCAAGCACCTCTTTCGTGTTAGACGCTTTTCGATGCTCTGATAGTGTAGCTAGAGGAGGCTGTTTCTTCGCACCTCTGCTCTGTTGCAGTAGTTAACTCAATACACTTTGACTTGATAGTCAATACACTTTGACTTTGTTACCTTGATATCAATCTCGAGATCGGTAGTAGTAATAACTCGAGATGGCCTTTTGCTTTACAGTGTTGTTTGCTAGTAATACTGCAGCTTATTGGGGAGTAATTTGGTTTTAGATTAAGCTGTAAAGCAAAAGTGAGGATTTTCTGGTGGTGCATAGCAATTCTTGTGATTGAATTGGATATAAGGACCCCCGCAACACTTTAGACCTAAAACTCCCTTGGTTCCTTGCATGATGAATTTGCATGCGAACCGGACTAGATGATTAATACACGAGTCAATAGTAAAGAGGTGTCAGGTATATTTCCTCCAACACTGGTTCCCGGATGCGAAAGTCGGTGCCATCAACAGTTACCAGACACCGACTGCCATTGTCATTCATCCGTCTGTTCTCCCATCTGATCTGGAGCAGCAGTGATGGTGGATTGTAGCATGTACATGGTGAGGTCTCTGTATTTGTGGAGTCGGCAATGAAGAAAAGAAAAAGTGCTAGCGCTAGCTTGGTTGTCACGTACCAAGTCAAGAGTAGCAATCTTCTCAATGAACACCCACACCCAATGGCGAATTGTCTTTTCATCCTTCATGAAGATCATGGCCAATACAGCGGTGACAGTGTAAGTTCTCAGGAACATGAGTGTGGCCAGAAAGTAGGTTACCCATCGAATGTCACTGAGGGGATCTTCATCGTCCAGCATGTTCCACAGTTCTGCCGCAAGATGAGGAGCCAAACCAAAACAGCCCCGAAATGCATGTCCGATTGTACCGGTAAGTTTCATGGTTGACTGCTCTGGCTGTAAGCCCTTGGTAGTTGGAAGCTGTTCTGATAATTGTGTCAGCTGTGATCTGCATCGCTGGAGGTTGTTGTGGTGTTGTGTCCTATTCACCTGTAGCGCCATGTAGATCCAGCAGTAGGCGGTGACCATTGACAACCTTGTAAGACCAAATTGAGATGCCATTGTGAGGTACCAGCAACAAAAGAGATGCCGTCGAAGAT